TCTCTCTGCATCCGTCGGGAAGTCGCCCACCCGCCTAGCCAGCTCTTAAGACGCGCCGGCGCCCAGGACATCGGGAGCGCCTTCAGCGCCCCCCCCCCCCCCCAGTCCACGAGCCCCCCCCCCAGGCAGATGCAACTTCGCAATCCGACGATCGATCAGGACAGCGATCGAAGCAGCGAAAAGGCGAGAGTGAAACATCGTCGCGGACCGCGCCTGCCATCAGGGGCGCGCGCCTGCCCGTGGAAGCGCGCCTTCCTGGGCGTTCCCCCCGTTGCACAAGCGCAAGCACGCCTCGCCTGCGGGCGCCAGCGCACGGTCCAGCGGGAATCCTTGCGCCGCATCTGACAGGGTCAAAGCAATGACTGGGGGCGACCAGAACGACGGGGCTAGAGCACTCGAGTGGATGATGGACATCGCTCCAAACTCAGTGGCTGCACGTCGCAGCTGGGCAAGAGGCGCTGGCCATGAAGGGAGCGGCACGAGCGCAGTGCGCATCGGCGACGCACAGCTGAGGACCCAGCTCGATGGGAAATCAGGCCCGCCCCACCTACCCAGACTCACCCACCCATCGCGATTCAGTATCGAGCTGGAAGTGCTCCAAAGCGATGCGAACCCATGCCTCTCCTCTATCGCTAGCGCCCTGGGCAAGCAGCACGCGCGTGCGATGATAAAAGACATTCGTGCTCAAGTCTGCAGACGAGTCACTCGCTGCCCGCGCTCTCTGCGCAACCTTCGCTAATGACACGCGCCGCTGATCTGCAATCGTGACCGGGGGGCCGATCAGAGTCCCTAGATATTCCTGGATGGGAGACAACGGCAAACCCAGACCATGCTGGAACGGCAGTCTCAATGAAAGTCCGCGCTCTATTTTCAACGCCGTCATCAAACGCGCCAAAGAGCGGGGCCACCTTGCATTTGGGAATCTTGAGGACGAGAGAGGCGAAACGCGAGGCAAGGGAGAAAATGCGACCAAGCCTTCGGGCGCAAGTTGTCGCGAACGGGGCCGAGCCAACATCATCAGCACATGCGCGCGAGAAGGCATTGTCAGCCCCCTCCGTTGCACGCCCCATGTCAGACATGAATGCACTGGCAGCGATGACAAACAACGATCCGCACAAGGAACATCTCTGCAAGACGCCGGCGACAGCGAATTATAAAGGAAGATGAGCACCCCCCTCGCGGAAGAGAAAGAGGTTGAGGTGACGCAAGCACTGAATAGCCTGAACCAGGCCAGGCGGGAGCGCAAGGGCCCGAGGGGGGGGGGGCTGGCCCGGGAGGCGCCGGGGAAAGCCTGGGCAATGTCAAAAGAAATAAGAAGTGAGAACCCTTCTTTAGGGGCTGCACACCGCCGAGGGGAGTCCTTCATGGTAGAACCAATCCGAGAGCGCGCGTCGAGCTCAACCATGTTCTTCAAAGAGGACCGCCCCTTTATAAAACCATTATGCATGCGCGGGCTCGCTTTTTGCGCGATCGACGCGAGCGGCAAGTTGGTTGCAGCCGAGACGTATTTGTTTTCAGAGTGTTCTTCAATGCTAGAGGTCTCGTTTCGCCAGCCGAACGAGAGAGCGCCGCCGCCTCCGCGCCCTCCCCGGCACGTCACCTTTAGCCAAAAGGCCGCGATGGATTCAAAAAGAGCGGTAAAGGAAGGCGCTGCCCAGCCGAGAGCCCCCAGAAGGCTTCCATGACCACTGGGGGGGCCCGACCTACCGCTCACGCGCTGCATGCCGGACCGTCGGGCCCAAGCCCGAAACGCGACGCGAGATCTTCCGCGCCAGTCCAGCATTGGGCGGGGGCGCGTCTTGAAAGTCCACTCTCGACGAAAACCCAGTAGCACCCCGTGATGCCCCCGCTGCGAGAGGCGACGAAACCTGAATGGCGGGCGCCCAAAACGCAGCCCGGTTATACGCTTTGCCCCCTGGAGAAGACGAGGCCCCAAGAGGGCCCAAGACCACGCCTAAGACGCGCCCCCGCCCCAGGGGGCCCCACAGACGAGCCCCGCGGTGCACCGAGAGGAGACGCTTGGAGGAGGAGGCAGAGGGGGGCCTCTAGCGTTCCGGGGGTCTAGCTGTGCTTGGGCGAGGGCGGCCTCGGCCTTCGCCGAGGCCAGGTGGGCCTCGTTGAAAGCTATGGCGAAAGCCTCTGGACGGCGAGAAGCAACGCGTCCAGCGTCGACCTCCAGATGATCACGAAGCCAATGGTGTCGTAGAAGCAGAGCACTAGCCTTCCGAAGGTCATGGCGCATCGCGGCGCGCGACGCCGACCTCCACGCCATGGCCCGCCCACGAGGTCCATGCCGAGCTCGAGCCAGGAGAGAGTCGCGCACAGCCCGACCAGCAGCTCGCCATACTCGAACGGCCAACTGAATCAGGGCGTCCGTAGGCTAGTCGTACTCCTCCATCTTGGCCGCCTTCTCACAGGCGTCAACCATCTCGCTGTCGACAGGGTCGCGCGTGATGAAACCAGCAGTTGGCTTGACACTCCGATACTCTCTCGCCGAGCGATGCGCTCAAGATAAAGACGAAGGAGAATGATCGCTCACCTCTCGACGATCAAGCCCATCAGGTTCAGCAGCCACTGAGGCCGACTGTCAGACGCGACTTGCGATCCAATTGGTGTGGACACACAGATGCGGTCGACGCGGAACGAAACCTGGTCCGGGCAATGCCAGTGGGCAGGACGAGCAGTATCATGCTCCACCATGCGTCTCCAAATCTTTCGCCATGACGCCTCATGCCGCCCCCGCGCCTGCGTGAAGCCAACTTCCCGCCTCCTCGAGGAGGCTGGCGCAGGAGCCCGAGACAGGATCCTCTATGTCGCCTTCGGAGATGCTGAAATCGCCGAACACACATACTGAGCAATGAAGAGGGTCAGCTTGGGCTGGAGACAGCTGCGGATGCATCCGATCACCCACCTTCTTCATTTCGTCTGCCGAAATATCATGGCTATGAACCAGACATAGTCAGCGGTGCGAATCGTAACGGGTAGCATGCGTCCTTCTACAGATACTTCGGAACACACATCCTTGACATAGCAACTCTTCGGGACAATCGTCATAACCCCTCCATTACGCGGCGCAGGGGGAGAATAACATAAGAAATAGTGAGAGTTAGCCCATCGCTGCATGATCGCCATCGCGTCGGGACTCGAGCAGTGGGTCTCCTGTAGCGCGACCACAAACAATACAGTCATCATCTTGTTCACATCAAAAAGCTTGAAATTCATGAGCTGGGACTTGTAGGGAGTGGGGGCACGAACGTTCCGGGTCGTGAAGGAAAACGAGCCCGCGCCCTCGAAGACTTTGTTACCCACTCCACCGAATCTCACGGACACCCGACGCCTCGATCGACAGCTCCTCCAGCTCGCGCCTCTGCACTTGCAAGTTGGCCAGCGCGCCCATGTTCCACTTGAACGTGGGTTTCTCCGTGGGATGAACTTCGACTTTGAGCATGTGGTCCCATGACATCGACAAGACACCTTCGTCCTGATCGACATACACTGGGCGACCAAACCTTGCACTGAACGCGTTCCTGATCTTCTTGCGCGCAATCTCCCGTGCGATATCCTGTCTGTTCTTGTCAACTGGGACCAAAAGCGCGACAGGGCGGCCACTGGGATCGGTGGTGTTGAACGTGCGCCACTGCCCTGCCTTCGTACGAATCGCCGCCATCGCCGTCCCAGTTCGCGCTCAGCCCTTGCGCCCTGAAATTTGAAAACGAACGAGCGCCCCAGCTGTTCACCCTCCAACTTGACCTCGTCCCCGATGGTGTACGATGCATCCTGCAACCACGGCGCGAAGCAATCGGCGACCTTCTCAAACGCCACATCAGCCCTCGCACGCACGAGGATGGTGCGATCCAGCTCCCATTCTCCAGTACGAGCGATCGACACGTGGACCCTCTTCTGCGACAGGTCAAGCTCCTGCTCCAATGCACGAAACCTCGCCTCAAACTTGCCCTGCACTCTGCGAACTTCTGCAATATCATTCTCGACCGATCCCAGACGACATGCGGAACGGAACGGAACGGAAGCCGGCGCAAGGCTCCGCGAGGGAGCTGCCGGGAGGGCCGAGGCCCGCTCACATCTTAATGTAATCGTCCTTCAGTTGGTCCCACATTTCTAACATCGCAACCTGTGTCCAATCGTCGTGGCCAAGGGTGGTCAGCACATGTTGTTTGATATCGTCAACCCATCGGGTCTTAGGGCGCCCTGGGCGTCGCCGGGCTGCAAACTGGCCCTGAACATGTTCCTCGAACTTGTGAAACAACGGCTGCATGGCTGCACCCAAAATCACAAGCATTTTCTGATCGATGGTTGCTCCGAGCTCCTCGTGCGCAATCTTCTTGATGGTGAAGGCAATCTCGAGCTTGACCTGCTCAGCGATAGAGTGAGCATTCGCCTGCGCCCAACGGTCGAGCGCGGCGCGCCTGCTCCCACTGACGAACACATCGATGTCGCAACAGGGGTCCCTGGGATAGCACCGACACACGCCCCAGAGTCAAGTCCTGCTCCCGCACTTTGATCACCGCCTCCAGCCACTCCACGCCAACGTCCAGCCAGATGGTGGTGTGGCGGCGGGACAGGCCACGCCATCGGTCCCGCAGTCGCAGCCCCTGCAGACGAAGACCCCGCTCCAGGCGTCTCCTGGGACGGGGGAGGAGGAGGAGGAGGAGGAGGAGGAGGAGGAGGAGGAGGAGGAGGAGGAAAAGGAGGAGGAAGGGGAGGTGGAAGGAGACGCGCGGCGTTGCGGAAAACAAGGGCCCCAAACCATAGGAGAGTTGGGGAGCATGCAGTGAAGTGTAACGCTAAGTAACGTAGGGGACTCCTGGGGATCAAGGGACAAGGCCCGTATGCCTCGTGCGCTGAGCAAAAGGACCCTTTAGGCGAAGCCTGTTTTAGGAATGAAAGTGCGCTCATGTCGCGCCATCCGCCCTGGCTCAAAGAATGCACTAAGCCCTTGACCCCAAACTGTTCGCGCCAATTGTCCCGCGTCTTCCAATCGTTCAGGCAAACGTAATCGTCGGGCGCCTCGGCCGGGACGCTCGTGACCTGGGGCAGTCCGCGTGTTTGTACCTCAAACCTGTTTCACTCTCCTCATGGGGAACAAGCAACGACGTACACGTCACAACTCTGAAGTCCGCGCGGAGTTTTCGGATCGGCGCTGGGCCCCGCCCCCCTGGCGCGCTCCGTTGCCCCTGGGCCCCCCCCTGGGCGGACGAAAGGAGTGCGGCAAGTTCGTGTCGGGGTGAATTGCGAGCTGGTTTGTGACACTAGAAGAACAAACAACTGTACCAACATGATTTTTCGAATGTCCGCGCGGAGTTCTTGGATCGGCGCTGGCAACTCCTTGGCGCGCGGAGCGCGCCAGGGGCGGCGCCGGAGGCGCCGTCAAGGGGGGGCCCAGCGCCGATCCAAGAAATCAGCGCGGAACTCCGCCAATTTGTGTTTAGGCCACCCGGAGCGAGAGCAACACAGTAAGGTAATTGTGGGTGTTTAGACACGGCGGGCTGGCAGTGGGGGTTCGCACATGCGCGCGGCGCTTTCGGCGGCCGTTGACGATGCCGGTCCCCTTGTCCATGGAGATGGTGAGCATGGGCAGGGCGTACACGGTGTCATATCTTGCCTTGGTGTTTTTTTTCAAACCATCCTGTTGTGTTGGGTCTTCGTTTTGAAAAGACAGCGCCCCACGTCTGCTTCCTCCTGTCCTTCTCCCCCTGTCTCCTGCCTGAATATTCATAATCCCTGCAATATGTTCTGCTTGTATATCATGGTCAATGGGCTTCGCCGATGACATGGGGAAGAAAAGATCATGCCGGCGGGCAGCAGGATGGTGGTGTGGAAGGAGTGCATTGACTCCCTCCGCGGCGGGATACGTCGAGTCGCCCCGACCCCCAACCCACCAGGCCTGCACATATGTACAGCCACTGGAGCGAACCCCAAGAGCATTTTACCGCTCGGCGGTGGTTGCCAGGGGGCGGAAGACCGAAGCAACCCGGCGAACCCCGCCTGAGCTAATATTTTGGCAGCTCAAGCCACAATGCCCATGCGCACCTGGTGCGCCCGCTTCATGATGAACTGTGGACCGGTATCGACGAAGTAGTACTGGTCCGTCTTGTACTGTATTATCTCTGCCAATCATTCCTCCAATCTCGAGAATCGTCCCAGGGGTCACTGTTGCGCCAGTTCCACTGGTACTGATCCCTTGAATAATTGTCATATATGTCTCTTCTTCTGCTCGGGTTCCAGCTGTCTGACTGGTCCTTGCCCTGGCCTTTCTCGGCCAGCCTCGCCTTCGGCGTTGGTGATGGCGGAGGCTCAGGCAAGGTGCTTGGCGTCCAAGGATCACGTTGAAACTTGTCGTTCTACTCGTTCAAACTAAACCATTGCAAAGTTTTGACATGACCTGTGACATTCAGATGGCGAGTCACATGAACATAATATCATTGTACTTCCCCATTCCCATTATTGTCCTCGCGGTCCAGCGTCGCGTCCCAGCCGCGATCGCTCGCGCGGCCGCCCGTTTCTACGACGGGCTCATATGCCCATGACTGGATCCGATCAGGGCCATTCCAGCCTGCGTTGCTGCCCGACGCGGCTGGGCCGGCGGGCGCGGGAGTGCAAGGGGCGATCCTACAGGATTGCCTCTCCGCCCACTTTGATATCGGTCTTGATGCTGCGCGAGAATGCCGCTGGGCTCTCGGCCCCTAGGCGGCAGGGCCGCTCGGGGCTCTGGTTCCAGCTAGCATGACTGCGGCATCTGCGGGAGAGTCAGCTGGGAGAGTCTCTGTGGGAGAGTCAGCTGGGCCGCTCTCCTCCTTTTGCTTCTTGAGATAACTGGTAAGACCAATGGCATTGCCTGCGCCGAAGAATCCAACGCGGCTGTTTGACAGGCAAACCCTGGCATTGAACCGGGAGTCTGTAAACATATGCATGAAAACAATCGCATCTCGAATGCCCCTGCCATTTTGTCTGGCAGTTTCCGAGACTTCATTTCCTAATCCTTTGGTCCATTCATGGAGTAGGTCGAATGATTCAAGTGCGGACCTATTCCGGCAGTCCAAGGCATATGCATCGCGCATGCTTCACGAACGACACCTGCATAGTTGGTGTTGCGCTGCACTTCGTATCCTGGCAATGCAACACGAAGTCCTGCAGACACGAAGCAGAATATCACTTCTCGCACGGCCAGCGGCACCCGCCCCCATCGCCCATGAATGGGGGCTCGGTTAAATGGTTCGCCCCATATTATATCCACAAGCTCGGACGAATCAAGCGGCGCGCCATGAATAACGTCTGTGTCTAATGGCGCCGAGACCGCGGACATGGACGAATATTCAAAGATGAATTGCGTTGCAACTTTGATAATTCCCAATTCCTGGCCGACCATATGCTTCAACATTGCGCTTTGCAATGGACATGCAGCGGAATCGAATCAAGCCAACAAAGCAGCGTTCTCGTCGGGATGCTCAGCTTGTGTCGCTGAAGCATGGTGTCATCGTATACGCCTTTCGACATGTTGGCTTTTTCTTCACGGGGTTCTATTGCTACATCAAGACGGCTGGGCCGTTGACGGAGTTCAGCAATCGCCCGGAAATCTACGCCTCCTACTTTATTTGGTGTAGAGATTTTGCTGGTTTCGGTCAGGTTGTTCGTTAACACTTGGACCGATGAAATTGTTACTCCCATTTCTGCCTGTCGTCGTTCCCATCGGTCCCAACCTTCTTCTGAACATATTTTCTCAGCACTAACGTGTTCCCAATCAAAAACAGCAAGGGCAGAACATCGGAACGGACGACGCATTGGTCTACGTCAGGCGTCCAAATCAACGGCCACCAATGAGCAGCGGTCGGGGCATCTTCCCCGCACACGTACTTCAACCAATCTATGAGTCGAAGCTTTAGTGGTTCCAGATACCGGAAGCATGGCTCATGGCGCACCGGCGGCTGCGCCGTGGCGCAGTCAGGTTTCCAGGGCGGGGCGGTCCCCGGCTGCGAATTCCCCGCCAAAGCAGCCCGGAGATGTGCGTCTTCAGCATTTTCCCGCTAGCGCTGGCGTTGTTCTGCTTTGTTCAAAGTGTCCAGCGCATCGGCAGAACTTTTGTTAATTGCTTTCAGCCGGTTAGGAATAATCTTGGAGCCGCTTTCCCCTCTCGGGGGTGTGCGTAGGTATGGGCTCAGTTCCAGGCTCGTCCATGCAGCAACCAATGCATCTTTACCAGGTGGCGCGTAGTAGTCCTTTCGGACATTGTATTTGCACTGAACTGAGGTGAGGCATTGTAGACAATACCCAAAACCAGCCCTCGCAGCATGGAAGTGCTGGCAGATGAACCTCCCATCGCCCGTCCACAGTTTCCACGTGATAAGGGCCATATTCTCGTCTGGCAATAGACCGTGCGTGACCTACAACGTTTAAGTCTTCGCCAGACAATATCCACGTTTTGATCGTGCTTTGTGAGAAGACCACTTTATATGCAGTCCATGCTTGAGAACATATAATGTTCCAACCGATATGCCGTGTGTTTTGTGCGGTCTCTTCAATCGACGACAATTGCACAATGCGAGACATGTCATGTAAACGTGCCTGTCCTGATGTCGCGAGAGTGCCGCCACGATAGATGCGATATCGTAGGCGGGTCACCACGCACCCGTTAAAGACAATACCATATTGCCATTTCGCATCATGCGTCACGACAGTTCCCCAAAGAGATGGGGTAAACTCATGAGGCCAAGTTCCCTGAATCGTAGGTCCGCTCCCGGAAGGCGTAGAACCTGGGGCCTGATATGTCTTTGCGGGCGGAGCATCTCCATCCCTCCTGTTGCGAAGCCAGCGGGGGATGTGCTCGGCCTTTTCAGCCGGGAAATCGCGCCTCGTAGGTATCAATCTCATAAGTCCATAATCAGGTGCTTTGCACAATCCACTGAGCCTATCAGGCTATCGAATCATCCCTGAGTCGAAGCCCGACTCCTTGCCTTCAAACTTGCGACGCGCAATGAGTGCCCATGACATCGCGCCATTTTCAATTCATATGGGGTATGCATGCGTTCTAAGCTATGGGCAGAACACGAGTGTCCCTGACATGCACAAAAGAACACTGGCATGGGCCTGCACGCCCGATCAGCTCGACCAATCGGAACAACTATGTTTCCATGCTCCTCATCAGCGGCTGCGTCGTGTGAGGCGTCTGGGATTCGAAAGAGCTTCCAGTGCTCCATCAGTGTTATCTGGTTCAGAAGCATAACGCCGTCAGCCTTTATTCCAAGGATGTCATATACGCCCGATGATAACATGGTTAGACCATGTACAGCAAGGGCAGTCGTGGCATGAGCAATCCAGTAATCCCATCATTTGTCGTTTTCCGAACGAAGTCACCAACGTGCACCCTCCCGCCCGATGATCGAGCATATTCGGCGCAATGTCGGGCCATGTGCACTGCGCATTCACCAATAATTAAATTGAGCGCCAGGATGCTTGCGGTGACTCAATTTTCGCCAAAAGTCAGGGCCCCCCAACATTATGAACTTGTTGCCTTGTCTAGTTATCTCCGCATCTGCTTCCTCGGCTATGCCGGCAGCGTCGTTGGGCAAAATTAAAAGAGCAAGGGCTGGATGAACTTCCTGGGGTAGGAAATGTGGCCGGTCATCTGAATCAAATTCTGCTCTTGGAAATTGAACTGCTGGTTCGAGCCCATCTGCACTTATCTCCTCGAGCAACGTAAATGCTGGGTCATGTGCCATGTAAGCATTTTCCTTGATCGCGTTATAGGCGCGCCCGCGAATCGCTGCAACGCGAGGCGGCACAGGGCCTGCCCAGTGGGCTTCAATAGCTTGTTTTCGAATCTCATCAGTCGTCCCACTACGACTATTCACTCGTTCTTGCTGCCGCAAGTACAGGTGCGCCCTGGTAATAAAAAATGTCGCACGGCTTACGTTCCTAGTTCGCCATGGAGGGTCTGGCTCCTCTGGACGGAGCTGTTTTATGGTCTGGTGATTGCGGAAGTGTCAGGCGCAAGAACAAATTCGTGACTCCTGGGCTAACTTCGGCGTCAACTTCCTCCGTGAATGACAGATGGGACTTCTCCCCGGCGCAGGGGGTCCTCAGTCTGTCTTCTGTCTCTGATGGCGAAGCCGCAGGGCGCGAGTCCTCTTCTTCTTCTTCTGTTTGCGCGGTGACTGCCTCGCCATCGACCCCGGTTGCACCGGTAAAAGTCACAAAATCAGTAGCCCTCCGGGCATTAGAAACTTCACCCGACGTAGCAAAATCCGTGTAGCGAGTTTTGATAGGAGTAACGCAAATAATGGGTCCAGTTTTCATATGGCAACGATTAGCCAACCGGTTCATGCATAGTTTCCCATGCCTGCGTCAGATAACGCATCGCCCAAGTGATCACGTCTTCTTTTAGGAGCTGGGCCTCTTCATCAGAGAGTGTCCCGGTACCTTCAGGCGGATTCCCGCCAAGGCGGACATGCCAGAACCGCTTGAACTCGTTCTCCAATGACAATTGAGCTCGGCTCGGTTCCGGTCCAAAGTGCACGTCCAAAAGATCTCTAACAATCTTAATTACAATCGACACATAATCATCGCCTCCGATGTTCGTTGGAGGCATAGGCAAAATGTGATATGGTT